CTCTCACCTCTTTTTCTTCAACTCAGTAAATCAGCAACATTTGGCAATTGCTTTCAGGGCAATTCACCTTGTGCATTTCAAGCAGTTTTATAGATTTTGTTCAACTTTTAGGCAATGGGAAAGTTTAATCTTATGTAAGCTACTCTATCATAGCTAGAATTGGAAGTGCTTATGTGAGAATTTTAAAATTTTTTGCTGGTTATTTCCAAGTATTTTACATTACTAGAGGCCTGGTGCATGAATTTATACACTGGTGGGGTCTCTCAGCCCGGCCTGCGAAACAGGCTCTCCAACATCCTCTGAGGCAGGCGTCCTCAAACTTTTTAAAGTGGGGGCCAGATCACGGTCCCTCAGAGAGCTGGAGGGCCGGACTATATGAACTACTAATTCCTACTGTAACACCTCAGCTGTGCTCACTGCCCAAAAAACCTGGCGGGCCGGATTAGACTCCTCTGCGGGCCGCATGTGGCCCACGGGCTGTAGTTTAAAGACCCCTGCTCTGAGGGGTCCTGGATTGTGAGAGGGCAATTCTTGGGTGACACACCTGGAATCAGGCTGTTGAAGCCTTTGTTTTCCTCTTCACATCAAAAACATGTTTACAGGCTCCTACTGGCCAAATCTGCAATAATTTAAGAAAAAAAAGTATTTACTCCTAAGAAAATGTTTAATGTACACAAACTTATATACAGATATTTAAAGGCCTAATTGTTATATCTTTGAACTACAATTGTAACATTAAAAGAATTTCAATTATGTTAAACTTGATTTAGGCTAAATTCCTTGATGGATGAGCTCAAATATTGAAACATAATTGTGGCAAATAAGGATCCAAAATGGTGATGGAGTAGGTAGAAGCTATACTCACTTCCTCTCAGGTCCAAACTGGAATTATGATTAAGTTATAGAGCCTGAATAACCAACTTGCTGAAGACTAGCTGAAAACAAGTCACTGATGCATCTGATAAGGGATTAATATCCAAAATTTATAAAGAACTTATAAAACTGAGCAACAAGAAAAACTAATTAAGAAATGGGCAAAGGACCTGAATAGACACTTCTCCAAAGAAGACATAAAATGCCCAATAGACATATGAAAAGATACTCAGTATCACTAATCATCAAAGAGATGCAAATTTAAAAACTCAATGAGATGTCACCTTACCTGTCAAAAGGGCTATAATCAGCAAATCAACAAACAAGTGTTGACAAGGATGTGGAGAAAAGACAACCTTCATGCACTGCTGGTGGGCATGCCAGCTGATGAAGCCACTGAGGAGAATAGTATGTAGTTTTCTCAAAAAATTAAATATGGAACTGCCTTGTGATCCAGTGAGTCTACTTTTGGAAATATATTCTAAGAAAAATGAAACACCAGTCAGAAAGAATGTATGCACCCTGTGTTCATTACAGGGTTCTTCAGAGCAGCAAAGATCGGGAAACAGCCCAGTGCCCACCAGGATATGAGCAGATGGAACAGCTGTGGGACATTCACACTGTGAAACACTCCTCTCTGTGGGACATTCACACGATGGAACACTCCTCACTGTGGGACATTCACACAGTGGAACACTCCTCACTGTGGGTCATTCACACAGTGGAACACTCCTCACTGTGGGTCATTCACACAGTGGAACACTCCTCACTGTGGGTCATTCACACAGTGTAACACTCCTCACTGTGGGACATTCACACGGTGGAACACTCCTCGCTGTGGGACATTCACACGATGGAACACTCCTCACTGTGGGTCATTCACACAGTGGAACACTCCTCACTGTGGGTCATTCACACAGTGGAACACTCCTCACTGTGGGTCATTCACACAGTGTAACACTCCTCACTGTGGGACATTCACACGGTGGAACACTCCTCGCTGTGGGACATTCACACGGTGGAATACTCCTCACTGTGGGACATTCACACAGTGGAACACTCCTCACTGTGGGTCATTCACACAGTGGAACACTCCTCACTGTGGGTCATTCACACAGTGTAACACTCCTCACTGTGGGACATTCACACGGTGGAACACTCCTCGCTGTGGGACATTCACACAGTGGAACACTCCTCACTGTGGGACATACACACAGTGTAACACTCCTCACTGTGGGATATACACACAGTGGAACACTCCTCGCTGTGGGACATTCACACAGTGGAACACTCCTCGCTATGGGACATTCACACAGTGGAACACTCCTCGCTGTGGGACATTCACACAGTGGAACACTCCTCACTATGGGACATTCAAACAGTGGAACACTCCTCGCTGTGGGACATTCACACGGTGGAACACTCCTCACTGTGGGACATTCACACGGTGGAACACTCCTCGCTGTGGGTCATTCACACGGTGGAACACTCCTCACTATGGGACATTCAAACAGTGGAACACTCCTCGCTGTGGGACATTCACACGGTGGAACACTCCTCACTGTGGGACATTCACACGGTGGAACACTCCTCGCTGTGGGTCATTCACACGGTGGAACACTCCTCACTATGGGACATTCACACAGTGGAACACTCCTCACTGTGGGACATTCACACGGTGGAACACTCCTCGCTGTGGGTCATTCACACGGTGGAACACTCCTCACTATGGGACATTCAAACAGTGGAACACTCCTCGCTGTGGGACATTCACACGGTGGAACACTCCTCACTGTGGGACATTCACACGGTGGAACACTCCTCGCTGTGGGTCATTCACACGGTGGAACACTCCTCACTATGGGACATTCACACAGTGTAACACTCCTCGCTGTGGGACATTCACACAGTGGAACACTCCTCACTATGGGACATTCACACAGTGGAACACTCCTCGCTGTGGGACATACACACAGTGGAACACTCCTCACTGTGGGACATTCACACAATGGAACACTCCTCACTATGGGACATTCAAACAGTGGAACACTCCTCGCTGTGGGACATTCACACGGTGGAACACTCCTCACTATGGGACATTCACACAGTGGAACACTCCTCGCTGTGGGACATTCACACAGTGGAACTCTCCTCACTATGGGACATTCACACAGTGGAACACTCCTCGCTGTGGGACATACACACAGTGGAACACTCCTCACTGTGGGACATTCACACGGTGGAACACTCCTCACTATGGGACATTCACACAGTGGAACACTCCTCGCTGTGGGACATTCACACAGTGGAACACTCCTCACTATGGGACATTCACACAGTGGAACACTCCTCGCTGTGGGACATACACACAGTGGAACACTCCTCGCTGTGGGACATACACACAGTGTAACACTCCTCACTGTGGGACATTCACACGGTGGAACACTCCTCACTGTGGGAAATTCACAAGGTGGAACACTCCTCACTATGGGACATTCAAACAGTGGAACACTCCTCGCTGTGGGACATTCACACGGTGGAACACTCCTCGCTGTGGGACATTCACACAGTGGAACACTCCTCACTATGGGACATTCACACGGTGGAACACTCCTCGCTGTGGGACATTCACACGGTGGAACACTCCTCACTGTGTGAGAGAAGGAAGTCTCAACCTTTGCAATTTCACCGAGAGAGCATTATGCAAGTGAAATAAGAGACGGAAAAAGAGAAGCACTACATGACCTCACTCATATTTGGAATCTAATGAGTAAACTGAAATAACAAAACAGGAATAGGCTAGAGAGCAAGCTGATGGCTGTCAGTGTGGGAGCTGGATGGTGGGCTGAGGGATTGGGAAAAAAGACAAAGAGCTCATGAACAAGAGTGTGGTGGTTGCCAAGGGAGGAGGGTGGGGAAGGTGGGGGACGGTAAAGGTAGAATAAATGGTGATGGGTGGAGACTTGACTTGGGGTGGTGAACACACAATAAAGTGCACAGGTAATGTGTTGTAGAATTGTACACCTTAAGCTGTATGATCTTGTTAACTAGTGTTACCTCGGTCCTCATATATAAAAACCCTCATATATAAAAAGGGTCATAACGCCAGTAATTACTGGAGGCTGACCAACTGGAAGTCGGTGCTGGCGCTGCCCCAAAGCAAGAGGAAAGGGGCAATCAGACAGGCAGGCAGAGGGGTTAGGGGTGATCAGGTAGGCAGGCCAGCAGTTAGAGGAGATCAGATAGGCAGACAGCCCCTTATTGGGCTGGCTCCGCCCCTAAGCAAGTAGTTAGGGGCAATCAAGCAGGCAGGCAAGTGGTTAGGGGAGATCAGGTGGGCAGACAGCCCCTCGCAGGGCTGACCCCACCCCCAGCAAAGAAAGAGGGAGACCCAGTCCAGCCAAGCAAGCCATTGCACCCCAGCCTGCCACCTGCAGAAGGAGGCCACCGGTGGCAGAGGGGCAGGCACAGTGCTGCACAGATGGCAAGCAGTGGCAGCAGTGGGGTGGGGCCAGCTGCCTGCAGCCAGGGGAAGGAAAGCCCTGACAGGCCCTGACCTCAGGCCAGGACAAGGGACCCTGCCCAAGGGGTCCCAGATTGTGAGAGGTGCGAGCCGGGCTGAGGGTCCCCTGATGGCATAACATTTTGTGGACTGGGCCTGTAGTAAATTTAATAAAAAAGAAAATAAATAATTGCCTCAAATATTAAAACGATAAAGTGGTTTTATTCCTCTATTTCTATTTTTTATTTATATATTAAAAATCACAATAGTATCAGACTTTGAATAGATTGCATAGATAAATTTTGTTTATATTTTCCTTCAAGTTGGAAATTTCAAAACACAACATGAAACACCCTTTTCCTTACCATTTCTTCAATGTGCAGTTATAATGAGGAATTGTATTCTAAGTTTGTGATAAAACTTTGGCAACTCCTAAAAATTGTATGCACTCCAAATATGCATTAGTTCATTATACCAATGTTTTAGCAACAGTGGTTTGAAATTTATAATATTTTGATAGCCTTTCATCCATGTAAAGTGGTTTCCATTTTAAAGATAGGAAGGACTGTCAGACATTGTGCCTTTAAGTGATCAGCTTACATATTAGAGTTTTCTCTCTTTACAGTTCAAGGTTTTCCTAGAGAAAGAGATTTTGAAGATTATCTTATGCAAGATAATAACTCTGAAAGAGTGATGGTTGCTTTTGTTTTTGACCATGAGTTCGAAAATAGCTATGATCCTCTGCCACTTAAGGTAAGAAAGTTTTATGTAGAAACTCTATGGCTATAGTTTCCAGGGACTTAATGAAGTGGAAGTATTTTATAATCTGGGAGACTGTAATTTACCCAAGATCATGCTGCTTATACACAGCAGAGCAGGCATGCAGACCCAAATCTAACCACATCAGTGTCTCGGTCTTAATGCACCAGGGCTTTATGTTTGGGGGGAAAGATTTGAATTCACTGCCTACCAGGCCTTCATAAGTCAGCCATAGGCAACAATGGCCACTGAGGGGCCCCTCTTGCTGCTGTGTCTGGCTCAGCAGCAGCCTCCAGCTCTGCAGGTGGCGGTGAGCCGTGCACATATCCTAGGCAGGGGACTGGGTGACAGGTGCCGCTTGAGGTCAGGAGCATAGAACACAAGCAAGAAACTTCCCTCTTTCTTTTGAATGAGTCTCGTCATTTCTAAATCCAAACCTGGAAAACAGTACTAAGACTTAGGCAGGCTAACTTAGAATCAGGACATATGTAGACTCTGAAGAGGAGTCTGGTGCCAGTCCCCCAGGAGGAGAGGCAAGGACAGTGCTTTGAACTTAGTGTCTCTGGTGTTGAGAGAAATAAAGTGTCCATTTAAGACAGATGGTTGACAATGGAATGAAAAGTAAGGAAAGCCCCCAGGTGTGAGTAGGTTGTGGGAAGCCTTTCATTCTGTCTTCCCACCCCTCATCTCTTTCCTAGATGCCAACTTTTCTCATGCCTGAGTGCTGCATAGTTTAATTGTTAAATGAAAGGTAGTACTAATTCTGGAGAACTGCATGAACCTCTATGTAGGACACGATGCAATAGTTGAGCAGCAGGGTCAAGACACAGAAACCAGTAGAATCAGGAGGGGAAAGCAGAAGACATAAGTCAAGACCTAAGTCTTACATTACTGATACTGGTGCGGGCTTAGCAGCTTGCATAGAGCCTGCTCCAGTGTCTCGGTGTGGGTTCAAGCTTCCCCTTATGCCTTGGATACCTCCCTGACCCTACTGCTCTCACTTATCTGATTACTCTGACTTAACCTTAAGGTTGCTACCATGACTCACAGTACACTGTCTCTTCCAACCACACCCATTCCTTCCCTTCTTGGTACTTCCACATTTCCTATACATATCTCAGTCACTGATCTTACTATAGCATAAATAATACGTAATTTTCCTCTACTACTGTAGAATTTGAGCTCCTTGAGTAACAGGGGCTCTGTCTTAATCCTCCAATTCTATATAATAAGGAGATAATATGCAAATTGACCATCACACCCTCACAAAGATGGCTGCCTATGACCAGGTCATCAGGGGGGTTAGTGAGGGACAATCAGGCTGGTGGAGGGGGGGCAGTTAGGGGTGACCAGGCAGGCTGGCAGATGAATGATTAGGGGCCAGTGGTTCAGGATTGTCAGAGGCCCCTGGATCAGGCCTAAACTGGCAGTCGGACATCCCCTGAGGGGCCCTGGATTGGAGAGGGTGCAGGCTGGGCTGAGAGGACACCCTTCTCCCCTCTGCAAAATTTCGTGAACTGGGCCTCTAGTATATAAGTGCCTAAAACTTCTGTCTTGTTAACTGAACGTATGAATATTTACCTTGACTTATGTCTTCTGCTTGCCCCTCCTGATTCTACTGGCTTCTGTGTCTTGACCCTGCTGCTCAACTATTGCATCGTGTCCTACATAGAGGTTCATGCAGTTCTCCAGAATTAGTACTACCTTTCATTCAACAATTAAACTATGCAGCACTCTGTATTTACATTTGAATATACTCTTTAATCCTCAGGCAGGATTCCTTTAAAAAATATATATATATATTTTATTGATTTTTTCAGAGAGGAAGGGAGAAAGATAGAGAGTTAGAAACATCAATGAGAGAGTAACATTGATCATCTGCCTCCTGCACACCCTCCTACTGGGGATGTGCCCACAACCAAGGTACATGCCCCTGACTGGAATCGAACCTGAGACCCTTCGGTCCAAAGGCCAATGTTCTAATCCACTGAGCCAAACCCGTCAGGGCTCAGGCAGGATTCTTATGTTAACAATCATTTCTAGGAAAGGAAGGTTTTCCTCATAGGAAACTTACCAGGCATAATGGAAAGAGGAATTTACAAAACCTTTTGGTATATTTCCTGTCAGTGTGCAAGCAGCTGTCCATCTGGGGCAAGTCCATCCACAGCCTTGCTCCAGATTGCGCTTGCCTCTGACTGCCACACCCACTGCTGCTGCCTCAGCCTGCCTTCGGCCACAGGCTCCCATTTGCACTTTAACATTCTTTTATTTCTCATTCCTGCTTAATTATGTTTTTGTTTATGAATATTGTTTGTTTCCCTTTGCTCCTTGTAGGTAAAATATTATTTGCGTTTTAGTTCTCAGAGGAACAACTATTCGGAGACATCCCAACCTAAAAGATGGAAAACAGATACTCTCTTTCCAAAGCATTCTTTCGCAGGACCCAGAAATGAACTAGACCCAACGGGGGGGAGTCCTGGTGAGCAGAACTTTGACCACACTTACTTAAATAATGCTAATTTTACAGCGAGAACAATCTCTATTTGTACATACATTTCCTCAACTTTTTTCTCTTCTTTGTTTCTTGTTGTTGTTAATCTTCACTCTAGGATATTTTTCCATTGATTTTTAGAGAGGGAGGGAAGGAGGAAGAAGTGGGGAGAAAGAGAGGAAGAGAAACATTCATGCGAAAGACACATTGACCGGTTGCCTCCCGCACATGTCCTGAGTGGGGCTAGGGATATGTGCCCTCGATCTGAATCTAACCCAGGTCCCTGCAGTTCACGGGCTCCTGCTCCTTCCACTGAGCCAAACTGGCGAGGGCTATTTTTTTCAACTTAAATATATATATTATTGATTTCAGAGAGGAAGGGAGAGAGAGATAGGAACATCAATGATGAGAGAGAATCATTGATTGGCTGCCTCCTGCATATCCTCCTATTGGGAATTGAGCCCACAACCCAGGCATGTGCCCTTAACCAGAATCAAACCTGGAACCCTTCAGTCTGCAGGCTGATGCTCTATCTACTGAGCCAATTTTCAACTTTTGATAAACGTTATTTTTTTTTAACTTATTATACTGGTGTTGTTGTTTTTCTTAATTTAAAAATTTTAGTGTCCCAAAACTCATGAAAAATCCTATAGATTGGAACAATGCATTTTTATCCTTTCTTGATCATTATCATTGTATATCCTTATATTTTCATGTAGATTTATTTATGAAACTTTGATTTTAATGACTTACTATATACATTTCCAGATACTGACATAGAATAAGTAATTATAGCTATGTGGTATTCTGCTGAGCTGATGAAAAGTTTTCAGTATAGCTATTGTAATTTAAAATTTACTACACATACTACCATGTGGAACTTTGCTTTCACCAAAAATAATGCACATTTATTGTTAGGAAATTATTCAGCAAGAGAAACAAGCTGTAACCAATTTAGTATAATTCTTATTTGAAATATTTCCTTTAAAATATTTTAATATTATTTTTTATGTAAAAATATTTTTAATATTATTATTTTCTTTAAAATATTTTAAATATTATTTTTCAGTCATAAAATTTAAAGGGGAATCAGGTTTTTTTCAACTTATGTTACTTAATTATGAACTTTGGCCTAAGGTGTTACTTCTTAAGGATTAGACTAGCGAAAGACTTAGAAAGCTAGATAATGATGATAGTTTCCATGGATGTGACATATAGAAACCCAAATGCACTGCTTTAGGGAGGGCCATTCTGGGTAGCTGTCTGGCAATGGCGGTTGTCTTAGTCTGTTTGGGCTGCTATAACCAAGTACCACAACTAGGGAGTTTATAAATAACAGAAAATTGTTTCTCCTGGTTCTGGAGGCTGGGAAGTCTGAGATGAAGGCACTTATAATTTTATGGATTTATAAGTAAATTCCTGACATTGTTCTTTCTAGTGGCAGGAGTAGAAGGCAATCAGGACAACCAATTAGAAAGACTGGACTAGATTTATGCATAGCAGAGTACATAAAGTCTATAACTCAATTTCATTTACATAAAATGTATGCAAACAGAATGCTCGTATAAGTCTTAGAAGAACACATAAAACCGCATAAGGATACTCACTAAACACATTAGGAATGCTGCCAATTCTCAGATGACATGATATTTACATAGGAATCCCTAAAGACTACACTAAAATACTACTAGATTTAATGTGATTTTGGCAATGTAGTAGCATACAAAATTAACACCCAGAAATCAATGGCATTTTAAAACACCAATAATGAATTCTCAGAAAGATAAATTTTAAAAATGATACCATTTATCTTCGCAATGAAAAAAAAAAATTAAGATTCTTAGGAATAAACTTAACCAAGGAGGTAAAATACTTATACTCAGAAAACAATAGGATATTGAAAAAAGATATAGAGGAAAAATAAACAAGAATATACCATGTTCATGGATTGGTAGAATCATCATCATTAAAATGTCCATAATACCCACAGCATTCTATAGATTCATTCTAGTTCCTATTAAAATACTAACAACATATTTCACAGATCTAGAGCAAACACTCCAAAAATTTATATAGAACCAAAATATATCCCAAATAGCTACAGACTTGAGAAAGGAGAACAAAGTTGGGCGGAATCACAATATCCAATATTAAGTTAGACCACAAAGCCATTGTCTCAAAACAGCCTGGTACTGGCTGATAGAACAGGCAGATAGATCAGTGGAATAGAACAGAGAACCCAAAAGCCAAGCCATTACACTCAATATTTGACAAAGGAGGCAAGAGCATACCATGAAGTAAAAGACACTCTCTTTAATAAATGCTGTTGGAAAATTAGATAGGTACATGCAAAAAATAAAACTAGATCACCAACTTACACCATATACAAAAATAAACTCAAAATGGCTAAAGGACTTGAATGTAAGATGGGAAACCATAAAAATCATACAAGAGCCCTAACCAGTTTTGCTCAGTGGATAGAACGTCAGCCTGTGACTGAAGGGTCCCAGGTTTGATTTCAGTCAAGGGCATGTACCTTGGTTGCAGACACATCTCCAGTAGTGGGTGTGCAGTGGACATCTGATCAATGCTTCTCTCACATTGATGTTTCTAATTCTCTAACCCTCTCCCTTTTTCTCTGTAAAAAAAAATCAATAAAAATATATTTTAAAAAATCCTACAAGACACCATAGGCAGCAAAATTGCATACATATGTCATAGCAATATCTTTATAGACACAGATCCTAGGGCAATGGATACTAAGGAGAAAATAAACAAATGGGACTACTTCAAAAGCTTCTTCACAGCAAAAGAAATCATCAACAAAACAATAAGAAAGCCCACTGCATAGGATAATATATTTGCCAATGCTATTTCAAATAAAGGTTTAATCTCCAAAATATGCAGAGAACTCATACAGCTTAACAAAAGGAAGATAAATGATCTAATAAAAAAATGGGCAAAGGACCTAAATACTTTTCCAAAGTAGATATATAGATGATAAAGAGGCATATGCAAAAATGCTCAAAGTCACTGATCACAGAGAGATGCAAATTAAAAGGACAAAGAGGTGTCATATAACACTTGTCAAAATGGCTATCATCAACAAATCAGCAAACAAGTGCTGGTGAGGATGTAGAGAAAAGGGAGCCCTAGTACACTGCTGGTGGGAATGCAGACTGGTACAGCCACTGTGGAAAATAGTATGGAGTTTCCTCAAAAATTTTAAATGGAGCTTCCATTTATTATACCCTGTAATCCTACTTCTAGGAATATATCCTAAGAAACCTGAAGCACCAGTCAAAAAGAATGTATTTATCCCTATGTTCATAGCAGCACAATTTATAGTAGCTAAGATCTGGAAACAGCCCAAGTACACATCAGTAGATGAGTGGATAAAAATGCTGTGGTACATCTACACCATGGAATACTATGCAGCAGAGAAAAAGAAGAAGCTCTTCCCCTTTGAGACAACATGGAAGGACCTGGAGATTATCATGCTAAGTGAAATAAGCCAGTCCGAGAAAGACAAATATCACATGATCTCACTCATATGTTGAATATAAATGAACAAATAAACTGAAGGATGAAATAGATCCAGAGACATAGAGGCATGGAGCAGAGTGTAGGATCTCAGAGGGAAGGTAGGAGAGGGTGGCTGGGTGGGAAGAGATCAACCAAAGAACTTGTATGCATATATGCATCACCCATGGATATTGGGTAATGAAGGATTGGGGTGGGGGGTGAAGGTTAGCTATAAGGGGTCACTGGGGGAAAAGGAGGACATATTTAATCCTTTCAACAATAGAGATTTAACTTTAAAAAAACACAAGGATACTCATCAACCACATTAGAAATGTTGCCAATAGAAATGGGGCAAGGTAAAAAGGAAAATGAAAGAGTGAATCAATAAGAGGGTTAAGGGGCATGAACCAATCGTTGGGCCATGAACTGAATGAAGAGTATGATTAACAGTCTTCTGAACATGAAGCTAAAAATATGTGTGTGTGTGTGTGTGTGCGCGCGCGCGCGCGCGTGTTTATTTGTGTGAGTGTGTCTGTGTGCGTGCGTGCGCACAAACACACCAAAATATGTGCATGACATAAAACTAGAGATTGTTAAACACTCATTGATTAAAACATTTATGCCCTATTTTTATTCTTCAATTATTGACTTGTCTCAATAAAGTGTTATCTTTTTAAATTTTTATCTTTATTGTTAAAAGTATTATAGATGCCCCTCTTTTATCCTCCATTGACCCCTCCTCCCCATTCCCACCCTCTCCAGGCCTTCACCTGTGACCATGGGATTATCTATATATGCATAAAGTTCTTTGACTGATCTCTTTTCCCTCCCCCACTTCCCTCCTACATTTTACAGTCTGTTTTATGCTTCTTTGTCTCTGGATATATTTTGTTCTTCAGCTTATTTCATTCATTAGAATCCACATAAAAATTAGGTCATGTGATACTTGTGTTTCTCTGATTGGCTTATTTCTCTTAGCATACTATTCTCCAGGGCACTCCATTCTGTCTCAAAGGGGAAGAGACCCTTATTTTTACAGCTGTATAATAGTATTCCATGCTAAAAATGTACCACAGCGTTTTTATCCACTCATCTACTGATGGGCACTTAGGCTGTTGCCAGACCTTAGCTATTGCAAATAGCACTGCTTTGAAAATAGGGGTGCATATTTTTTTTCTAATTGGTGCTTCAGGCTTCATATATTTCTAGAAGTGGGATAGCTGAGTCAAATGGCAGTACCATCTTTAATTTATTGAGGAAACTACATGCTGTCTTTTATAGTGGATGTACCAGTCTGCAGTATGTGAGGGTTCCTTATTCTCCACACCCTCACCAGCATTTCTCGTCTATTGATTTGTTGATGACAGCCATTCTGACAGGTGTGAGTTGATACCTCATTGTCATTTTAATTTGCATCTCTCAGATGATTAGTGACTTTGTCTATTTTTTTTTAATTGGATTGT